TAGTATAAGAGATCTGTCAAATTCTTTGCTGAAATCCAGGCATGCTATGTCTACACCATTCTTCTGATTTACCACTTTAGTTATTCTATTAAAATATAGAAATAAGTTTATACTAGCATGACTTACTCTATGTGAAGTTGTACCTGCTCTTTGTGATCTCTACTGACTTTTCTAAATACTCACAAACCATCCCTTTAATATGTTCTAGAATTTTGTCAGCAATCAAAGCCAAGCTCTTTAGCTCATGTAGTTTGCTGTTTTACTAAGCCTATAGTTTGTTTCATATTCTTTCTTTTTTTTTTAATATGAAGACATTTGCATTTTTTCATCCTGAGGTACCTCAGGGGGCAATTGATTTAGATCTGGCAGAGACCTTTGAGATCATATAGTGCAACCTCCTGCTTATATAAATGAAGAAGCCAAAGCTCAGAGATGTTTTATGACCTGAAAAAATTCACACAGGTCAGTGACTCCAAAATCAGCCCTTTCCACTGGGCCACACTGCCTCCCCCATTCTCCAACGTCTATCAAAAAAAATGAGACATGATGGCTAATCAACAAACAGCACCTGCCTGTTCTTTCAGTACCCTGGGATGGAGTTCATGTGGCTCCCGTAACAAATTAATTGAGTATTACTAGATGCTTTTTTTTTTACCATCTCCTCCCTTATCTTGAGTTTTGATTCCTATTAACCATTATTGATTTGTTTTTCCTAGTCCAAAGGTCATTCTCTTCGGAAGAAAAAAAGAGAAGCAACGTAAGGGTTGGGTAGCACCTCCTTCCTGCTGTAATCCATTATCATCATATCATCAACATTGTCTCTGATCATCAGTCCTATCTTATTCCTTCTTTGATTCTTCTCCTGCCCGCAACATAACCAAAGATGACCCTTCTATTATCCTCAGTATGCATCCCAGGCCTCCATCATTCTGGGGCTCAGCATTCCTGACACTAATCTTATAAAATCATGCCGCTCTTCTGTGTTCATGCACCATTACCTGCTTTTGTTTCTGTCATCTGTATGTGTCCTTTAAAAATCTGAATTGTTCAGCTAATCCACCTTTTTAGACTAGAGTTGTCAAACATGTGGCCAGGCTGCATGTATGTAGTCTGTAACACTGCTGAATGTTGTTCAAACCAGATGAAAATATAATTGGGAAAAATTTAACAAAATGAAAATACAATAAAATATAGATAATATTACATCTTAAACCTAAATCAATCTTCAGCATGCAGAGATTTTTTTTTTAATCTAGGTCTAGGTCTTTTAGGTTTGTTTTTTGTGTGTCATGGATGACTTAGGAATTCTAGTGAAATCCTATGGATCTCTTCTCAGAATAATGTTTTAAAATACATAAAATAAAATATGTACAGTATTACAAAGGAAACTAATCATATTTAGTTATGAAAATATGTATATTTTTTAAAAAACCAAGTTCATAGACTCCAGATTCCTCACTTAGACAATTGCTTTTCTTTCCTTCCTAATTGGAACAATTTCTGTTTTCATCTTCAGAATCTAATTCTTGAAGGATTCCTAAAATTGTAGGGCTAGCTTCCCCTGTGGAATTTTAGACCGTAAGATCATATCTATCCTTTCTCCAAACCCTCTGAAACCTGCTCCCTGAAAATCAAAAATTCATATCAGACTATGACTAGCTTTCTTTTCCTTCTCTAGTATATGTATAGACCCTACAAATTCTTGAAGAGGCTGCTCTCTTGTCCTCAAGGCTCCCATCATTTCTACTTTAAAAACAACTTTTTGTTGTTGTTGTTCAGAATCAAATTTAAAATAATAGTTCCTCTCATCACTTCCACCTCTTTTTGAAGAATGAAGTTCTTAAGAACACTGGACTAGAAGTATCCAAGTATAAGGTGAAGAGGAGTTATAGAATTTTCAGAATCTCAAAGTTGGAAGGTACCTCAAAGTCTATCTAATTCAAACTGTACCTGCCCAAGATTCTCTTCTACTATATACTCAACAATCAATCAATAAGTATTTATTAAGTGCCTACTATGTGCCAGGCACTGTGCCAGGGTGAGGGATTACAAATACAAAGAATGAAACGATCCCTAAGCAAAATGAACTTATATCCTAATGGGGGAGACAACAAGCACATATGTAAATATATGCAGAATAAATGTTGTTGTCATTATTTTTGTTGGTCCTTCATTTTTGAAGAGGACCAGTGACATCATGGGTGATGTCTTGACTTGTGAGTTAATTGCATTTAAGTGAGGCAGAGCTGCACAAAGTCATCAGCCTCACTCTCTTCCAGAGTCTTCAAAGTCCAGTGGCAAGACAAAAGTCAGAACAACCCAGGACGTGGTGGACAACCTTGACATCTTTGTTGTCTGACCAAGACCTAAATGCTCCACAGCACCTGCTTCAGCTGCCTTCATGGCCAACAAATTTTTCTCATCTGCTCATTCTGCCAGGGGATGTCTCCACATGCTTGGGGTAGACATCTGTTTAACTCACCAAGGCCTCTGGGTTACCCTCAACCTGGTTTGCCCATCTGCTGACATGTTTTACTGGGGTGTGTCTGCTGCCCAGCTACATCTTCTTGGAGCCATTAGGAAGAAGAGAATAAATATGTTCTGGGCATACAAAGACAAAAATGAAAGAGTTCCTGCCCTCAGGAAGCTTACATTCTATCAGGAAGAACAATACTCGAACACACACATGCATATATATACAAAATCAAATTAGGAAGCTTCTCTTTGAAGAGCTCTACTAATAAAAGACTCAGTACTTCCAGAAACAGCCTACTTCACTTTGGAGCAGCTCCAGTTGTTAGGACAGCTTTCATATTGAAACTTGCCTCAGCTGACAGCTGACAGAGAAGAAACAGAAAAATGACAAAAGACTGACACAGGAATTCAAAAAACAATAAGAGTCTGGGGATCTTGAGAGATGAGGCAAACAATCGTACACATCTCAATAGTCCCTGAGGCTACCATTGGATTACTGCCCAGAGCAGTCATAGGTATTCAGAATTATAACTGAGTCACCAAGAAAAAAGGTTAAATTATGCTGGTCACAAGAAAAGGAGGCTGTGAAATTATTAGACTTTTTAGAAAATGGTTTAATTATTTTTAACATGGGGAAGGGAATAAACATCTATTAATTTCCTACCATGCACCAAGCACTTTACAAATATTATCTCATTTGATCCTCACAACCCTGGGAGGTGCTATGATGATCCCCACTTTTGAACCCACAAAGATAGCTTTCCTGATTCCAGACTTGAAGCTCTATCCAGTGTTTGACCTAGCTGCCCCATCCTCTTTTACAGTTAAGGAAAATGAAGCAGATAGAGATTAGGTGACTTGTCTGGAGTCACATAGCTAGTAAGTATCTAAAGTAGGATTTGACCTCAAGTCTTTCTAACTCTAGGCCCAGTACTCTATCCACTGTACCACTTAGAAGACTCTAATTCAGTACTGGGAAGGGTGAGCATCAATTACCCAGAAAAGTTACTTAAGTGGAACAGATCATTCTTGGCTGATGCCAGAGGAACAAATTACACCCTATCTATAATACTTGACTCCAATTTACTTTTTTAAGCCTTATTACATGTTAACCTCTTCCCTCACCTTCATGTACCCTACAGTTTGATCAAATTGGCCTTCTTACTGTTCCTCATACAGAATGGTCCATTTCTCTACTGTGGCTGTTCCTTCACTTGGAAAGGCCTCCTTCCTCACTTCCATCTTTAAGAATCTCTGGTTTCCCTCAAGACTCAGATCAATGGCTACCTTATCATGAAAACTTTCTTGATCCTCCCCCTCTCCCCAGCTGCTCTTGCCTGCCTCCCTTTGCCCACTCCTCACTATTGATTTTGCATATAGCTTGCCTGGAACACTCTCCCTCCTCATCCCTCTCCACCTCCTGGCTTCTCTGGCTTTCTTCAAGTCTCACCTAAAATATTACCTTCTACAAGAAGATTTTTCCCAGTCTTCCTTAATCTTAGTGCCTTTTCTCTGAGATCATCTCCAATTTATCCTATATCTACCTTGTTTGTAAAAGTTGCTTGCATATTGACTCTCCTATTAGGTCATGATCTCTTTGAGAGCAGGGACTGTCTTTTACTTTTCTTTGTATCCCCAACATTTAGTACAATGCCTGGCACAGGTGGCTCAGTGAATAGCGTGCTGGACTAACAGTCAGGAAGACCAGGGTTCAAATCTTGCATCATACCCTTACTAGTTACATGACCCTGGGCATGTCACTTAACCTCTCAGTCTCAGTTTCCTCATCTGTAAAATGAGGACAATCATAGCACCTTCCTCAGTTGTAGTGGGTAGAACACATGGTTGTTTTGAGGATCGAATGAGATGATATATGTAAAGTACTTTGTAAACCTTAAAGCTTTATATAAATGTTAGCTATGATTATTATTACCCCCCTTAATGGACTATGTTCCAGCCAAACTGGACTAGTAGCCATTACCTGAACCCCAAAGTTCATTTCTGAACTTCAGGCCATTCCCTATTCTCCTCATCGATCTATAGGAATCCTTTTCTTCCTTCAAGTTTCTACTTGGGTGCCTCCTCTTCCATGAAGTCTTCCCTGATCCCCCATTTGATGCTCTCTTCCTCCTCAACTCTTGTACAGTGCTTGTTTATATACGTGTTTATTCCTCAAGTATAATGTAATCTTGTGGAGGGCAGAGACTGTTTTGATTTGTCTTTGTGTCCCAGTGCCTAGCATAGTGCCTGGCACAAGGTAGGTGCATAATATACACTTATTGGATTGATTTGGTGGCAAGGGAACCCAGCCCTAGTTCTCTCATTCTCTGCTGTTTCCACTACCTTGGGCTGTAAGTTTGAAGCCTTCATTATTTCCTATCTTTGTGCCCAAATATAGTATTTTACAATCCATGGGGGAAAACTTAAAATTTCAGCAGAGTACGATCCCAAGGGGTGTTAGCTTTATTTTTTAGTTGAGATTGTGCTGCAGCCTATTTTATCTATCATCTTGCTTCTCTCTACAGTTTCTTCTCAGGGAAGAAGAAGGACTTCTTTCTAGACTGCATGACATTGAGTCACATACTGGTATGAATGAAAATGGCTCTCAGGATAAGGAGACAAGCTCACATGAATATTAAAATTAAAGTCATGTTGACACTGAATTTTGGGGAGGAATATGAAAGAGCTCTGCCTGAGGTCAGCTTGAAGAGAACTTTAAAGCTAGAAGCCACCTCAGAGGTCAGCTAGTCCTAGACTCTCATTTTACAGAAGGGGAAACTGAAGCTTTAAGAGGGGAAGGGGCTTTGTTATAGTCACACAAGTAGTACCAGAACTGGTCCTCTGTCTCCAAATACAGGGATATTTCTCCTTTACTACATTGCTTCTTCACATATTTGTCTTTGGTCTTGCTCTATGACCCTTCTCTTCTCCCATCCCCATACATTTTTTTTAAAATCATACAGCCCTGTTCTATTAAAAAATCATGAGTGGTCATGTATGAGTCCCCTGTGTTGAAGGGGATCACATGCATCAAACAGTTCAATCCTCAGGTTGTCAAAGAGACTGCTCCTTGGGGGCAGCTAGGTGGTGCAGTAGATAGAGTACCAGCCCTGGAGTCAGGAGAACCTGAGTTCAAATGTGACGTCAGACACTTGATACTTACTGGCTTTGTGACTATGGGCAAAATACTTAACTCCATTTGCCACACACACACACACACACACACACACACACACACACACGCACACGATAAGCTTCTTGCCAGAAGACTCATTTTTTTATACCTTGCACCTGTGCTAAGTACACTTGTGCAGAATCTCAAAAATTGGATACTGAGGTCTTTTTTAGTCCCATGTGTAGAAGATCAGCTGAAATATCTTGATTGATGAGAGATTGAGCCCAAACCTCCTTAGCCCACCACATCTAGTGAGCTCCAGACCAGGCTTTACATCCTATCCAGCTGTCTGCCTAGGCCATCTTGCCACATGTCCTGCTGCAGCCCTGGTTCTGAAATGGCATCCTCTGGAAGAAGTTATCAAATCCAGCCATCATTTTCTAGGTAAGGAAACTGCGATTTTGAGAAAAATTAAGTGACTTGCCCAAGGTCTCACAGCATGAGCATCTAGGGCATCATTATTATTAATATTATTAATACAATGATTAATAATGTCCAGCATTTATATAGTGCTTTAAGGTTAACAAAGCATTTTACATATGTTATCATGTTTGCTCCTCAAAACAACCCTGTGAAGTATGTCTTGTTATTATCCACATCTCACCAATGAGGTTATTGAAACTAAGGGAGTTTAAGTGATTTGCCCAGGATCATATTTCTAGGAAATGTCAGAGTCAGGATTTGAACTCAGGTCTGTTCGACTTCAAATCCAGCACATACTTCCTACTTTATCATCCATTTGAGTCTCCCAGTCTGGATCCTTTTCATGGTCTCTACCCCACTACAGGTCATTTCCTGACCTTTCCTACCCTCATAATTGAAGATTTTAATATACACATTAATATCTTCCCAAGCACTCTGACCTCTCACCTCATCACCCTGATCAACTCCTATTCCTTATCTTTCCATCTCACTTCAATCGCTCTTAACAATGGTCATACCTTTTACCATCACCCATAACCGTGACATCTTATTTGAATTCTGAAATCCCTCTCTCTCATCATAACTTATTATTGTCTCCTAGCTCCATTTCCCTAATCCTGAGAAAACCTATTTTTGTCTTCCCTATGACCTCCCATTCCTCTCTTCCTCTTGAATCTCCCAGTCTATCACCCCTGCTATGACCCCAATGTCCTCCCTCCACAGTCTTGACACCATGGCTGACCAATTCCATTATACACTATTCTCTACCATTGAATCTCCTGCTGCCTTGTGTGGTATGATCATCAATCGTACCTTTCCAAACCCTATCCCTGGAGTTGCCCTACCTTAAAATCTCCTACCATCTTGAATGCTGCTGAATGCTTCCGGAGAAAGTAGCATAACTATGTCACTTGGGTCTACTGCAAATGTATGTTATTTCATAAGGTCCCAATTTGTAGCACTCTACCTCCTCAAATTATATTACATTTACTTGCCTACTGATATTTAGATAGATAGATAGATAGATAGATAGATAGATAGATAGATAGATAGATATAGATATAGATATAAAACTTCTATTCCCCCCTAGCCCTGCCTCCCACCAAAAAAGATAAGCTCCTTGGGGGCAGCTAGGTGGTGCAGTGGATAGAGTAACGGCCCTGGAGTCAGGAGCACCTGAGTTCAAATATGACCTCAGACACTTGATACTTACTAGCTATGTGACCCTGGGCAAAACACTTAACTCCATTTGCCACACACACACACACACACACACACACACACACACACAAAACATAAGCTCCTTGCCAGAAGACTTATTTTTTTTTATACCTAGCACTTGGCATGATTCCTTACACATAATTTTTGGAGTGACAAAACCTGTAATTTCATTGGTATAAGGACTCTTGGTGAGGAAATGTAATCTAATATAGAGTGTCACTTTCTCTGCCAACCTATAGTCTTAGGCAGTTTCCTTGAGAATTCAGAGGTTAAGTTACTTAACCAGTGTCAAACAGCTGGCTAGTGTCAGAGAGGGCATTTGAACCCAGGTCTCCCAGATTCTGAGACTTTGCTGTGACTTCCATACTACTAAATGAGGAAGCTTTATTAATAGCTACATGTGGTACTGCTCCAACACCCCTCTTTCTCCCTGCCCTCTTTTATGTCTCTCCTCCTTTCTCCCTTTCTCTCTTCATTTCCTTGTCTATCTTCTTGTTATGGGAAAGAAACTAGAAGCCTGGAGACCTGTGTTCTAGTTCCAGCTTGGCTGCTCTCTAGCTATGGGATCTTGAACCCTTAATCTTTCCAGGCTTCCTCATTGCACTATCAAGGAACTACCATTTGGCTCTGGAGTCAGAGGAGTGAAGAAAGGACATATCTTCAAACATGGCAACATGGGAATTTTTGCTCAACTATACACATTTGTTGCAAAGATTTTCTTTTTCTTTTTTTTCAATGGTGGTGGGGTGGGAGGGAAGGGTGCTAAAAAAATGTAAAGAAAAGAAAGTCATTGAAACTTTTTTTAAATGTGCAGAAGAGAACAGAAGGAAAGGAAACACAAGTGAGCAAGACATCTTTGAAAGCTACACATTGAATATATTATATGCCTAAAAGTAAAAGCGAGACACTATTTCATGAAGAATTCTCTTTCAGTTATTGATATATGGAAATGCTCATTTTATTTGGTGTTTGCTAAATTCATAATTTAACAAAGAAAAGAAAGTAATTGGCTTCAGCTTGATTCAGCATGAACAGCATACAGAGCAGAGAAATTCAAATTAGGTTGAGGTTTGGAAGCATTCTTCCTTGAGGATGAGAATTGAGGTTTCCCTTTTTTTGTGAGTGTTTCTATGGTTCTCTGAAGGTCTGAGTTAGCTGGAACAGATGTTCCCTGTGGGAAGTGCTCTTGCAACTGGTTGTGTCTGCCGGGAGCTGTGGAAATGGTCAGCACAGAAGCCAGGGAAAAGGACATGGATGGAACAAATAAATACATACTGAGCTGCTTGCTGCGTCCAGCTGAGACCTTCCCCTTTCTCTGAGAGTGGTGCCCATGGCAAATGCCTTAGACACAAGGTATGTGTCACTGAACTTGGTTCCTACTTGGATTTGAAGACAGAACACCATTATACAAGGTTTAGCCCCTTTGATCTCAGGCTGTTTCCTTAATACAACAAATGGCCCCTCCCTGCAATCTCTTTAGCAAGTCAAATGGGTCCAGAAAATTGCTAGCAGTGTTATCATTGGTCCCAGGTGCAGTCCCACAAAAGTGAGGAAGGCTTGATGATAGATCTGAATCAGAGCTTCAGAAACAGATCCTAGGAATGGCCCCATAGCCCAGAAATACCAGAAAGCCAACAGGCTTCAGTTTTGGAGCCACGGGCAACTGACTGCTTCAGTTTCCTCCATCTCTCCAAAGGCAGAATGATTCAGCATTTTCAGTCAGATTTCTTGCATCAAGTTAACCTCCCCTCAGTTCCCCCAGAACACACACACACACACACACACACACACACACACACAAAATGGAGGGATGTGGTGGCTTTTCTTGACAAGTCACTTCCCCCTCTGTCTTCTTTCTTGTTATAGGTGCTGGCTCTCTGTACCCCTGATCCAAGATTTGGGGCACACTACCCTTAGGAAGAAGCATGGCATGATGGGGTAGAGAGTACCCTTGGACTGGGAATTGGGAAGCTAGGGTTCCAGCCCCATCTCTGTTGCTGTGTAGCAGTGGGACTTTGGGCAAGTCTCACTTCAACCCCACTTTCCTCATTTGTAAATTGAGTGTATAAATTCTGCCCTATTTACTTTACAGGATTATTATGAGAATCCATTGAGATAAAGATGGAAATGCTTTATATGTTGCAAAGTATTTTGATTAACTGTGGTTTGGGAGTAATAACAGCAAAATCCATTTTGTATGGAACTTTATAATTCATGAAGTATTTTACTCATAACCACCCAGGGAACTGGACAGTGACACCATTATTGTTCCCATTTTTCAGATGAGGAAAAAGATGCTCAGAGAGGATGAACAATTTGGCCCAGTTCAAACAGAAAGTTACAGATCAGAACTGAACCCCAGACAATGGGATTCTGAGATCTGATTCCCAGTCCAATGCCCTTTCCTGTATCCTTCAATATCTTACCACACAACCTCTGCTCTGTTCAGGCTTGTCTTATCTCTACCCACAAGCCTTGCTCATTCTCACTTTCGTGCAAGATGTAATCTAGACTGTGAACATCTTTCATCTTCCCCATCTAAACTCATATCATTCCTTCAAGGCTCTGTTCAACTGCTACCTCTTCCATGAAACCTCAGAATATACCAACCCACAATGATAACACAGAGGTAAAAGAATATGTTCACATATTCCTCTTTGAAGTTTATAAATCATTTCCTCCCCAATAATCTTGTGAGGAGGGTTGTGCAAATATGATTTTCCTGCTTTTGCAGATGAGACAACTGAGGCTCAGAGGTAAATTAGAATTGCCCAAAACTGAACAGCAAATGTCAACTGGGATTAGAACCCTAATCTCTCTAAACCCTAGGGTCAGCATGCTTAATAATAGTAATAGGTAGCATTTATGTAGGGTTTTAAGGCTTGTAAAATGTTTTTAACATATAATCTCACTTTATCCTCTCAACAATCCTGGGATGTAGATATTATTATTATTATTCCCATTTTACAGATAGGGAAAGTGAGGCAAGCAGAGATTAGGCAATTTGAATAGGATCACTCTGCTAGCAAGTATCTAAAACTGAATTTGAACTGAGGTCTTCTGGCCTCAAAGTCTAGCAATTTGTCCAATATACCATTTAGCTCTAGTGCTTTGTTCTACTTATCACACATATATTTGCATACAATTATTTATATACTTATTGTTTCCCCCAATAGAATATCAACTCCTTGAGGGCAGGGACTATTTCATTTTTGTCTTTGCATTTCTAGCCCCTAGAACAGTGCCTGGCACAGTGCTTAATAAATGCTTGTTAGTGATTGATTAATTGATTATATGCCACTGCATTGATCCCTTCTTAGGCCTCCTATTACATTTGTATTCCTTGTCTCAAAAGGCATTTTAGTTCTGCTCCATCAGTAAATGATATGCTTCTTGAAGGCAGAGGTCACAAGTCTGTTACTTCTCTGTGTCCCCCATAGTGCTGAGCATATGCTACAAGAAACAGCACAGAACTAAGAAATATTGCATCTTATCAAACTTGGGCTTGAGACTTGGCTCTGAAATTCACTAGAAGAGGCCAAGATACTTCTAATACTCTGTGGCTCAAGTCAGAGTTTGAATCCCTGCTCTTCATCAATGTCTCCAAAAACTCATCTTTCTGTAAGATCATATCAACTCTGAAACTCACCCCTTTTCAGCATCCCTTACTCCATGGGCCCCTCCCTCTCTCTAATTGGTCAGGGTGGAGGGTGGACATCAGAGGGCTTCTCCCAGGTCTTCTATTTAAGGAAGGAGCCCAGGGCAGAGACCTCATCATATACCATCTGGCTTCAGCACTCTATCATACCCTGAGATTCCAAGTACCCTCCCTCTCCACCCACCCCCAGACTCTCTTTTCAGCTTCTTTTTTATATGTTGTCTTTTTCTGTCCTCCTTGATGCCAGAGATTGTCTTTTGTGTTTCTCTGTATCTTTAGCTCTTAGATGGGCTTCTTGTTGTTTAGTCATTTCAGTCATGTCTGACTCTTCATGATCCCATTTGGGATTTTCTTTGCAAAGATACTGAAATGGTTTTCATTTCCTTTTCCAGCTCATTTTACAGATGAGGAAACTGAGGCAAACAGGGTTTAGTGACTTGCCCAGGATCACACAGCTAGTAAGTGAGGCTGGATTTGAATTCAGGAGGCTGCTTCCTGACTTCAGGCCTGGCACTCTATCCACAATGCTACCTAGTTTCCTATAGTAGATGTTTAATAAATGTTTATTGACTGACTGCAAGTTGTTACCTGTGTAACCATGGGTAAATTATACCCTTTCTAGACCTCAGATTTTTGGGCTGTAAAATAAGGGAGTGGGAGTAGACCTCTACAGTGCTGTCCAGCTTATGTTTGTAATCCTCTGAAATGAGAGTATATGTTCTTTGCAAATGAGAAAGTGCTTTAGAAATGGAAAAGGTTGTTTTTATTGAACAGACAAATAGCAAAAATGACAAATATTCTCCCTCCCTGCAGCTCTGTCTCAGAGCAGGAGACAGTGAATGTCATGATGTACTAACAGATACAGCCCTTTCTGGAGGTGGGGGTGGGTAGACTGTATGGTCACTGGGGATCTGTCCCAGATCTGGGGTCTTCTGATGTTAGCACCACCACAGTGGGAGTTCTGGGATAATGGAGAGTCTCCAGATGGGGTGTGGCTCTTGACTCAAACCTGAGTAGCTGTGTGTGACCTTAATGGAGCTGGGTTAGGCTTTAATTAGATGCAAAGTATTTTTAAGACACAATCTTGTTTTTAGCCTCACTTGGAGAATCCATTAGTGCCCCATCACAGAGCACAATGTTGCTTTGTATTTGAGCCTGAAACCAGCTCTCTAGTTTTGTAAAATAATGCCCTCCTTCTCTGAACCTTCCCTGCCTTCCCTACCTCTCTCTCTACCTCACCCCACCCCCCATCCCATCCCCAAGAAATGCTTACAATTCTATTATAATCTAGGAGATTCTTTTCCACACTCTTTATTTCTCTTTAATAGATTTTTTTTATTGATATCTTTCATTTTTACATTGCCCAGATTTCTCCCTGTATCACTTCTCCCTCTCAGGGAGTCATCTCTTATAACAAGTAATTTTTTTAAGAGAAAAAAATGAGATAAGAGAAGAAAAAAGTCAGCAAAATCTATCAATGTACTGGGGGGAAACCCTGATGTTATCAGGAATATTTTTTCTTTTGCTGGAGTGCGTATCTTTTCTTTGGGATGAAATTTATTCTTTATAATTTTGCAACATTCATTTTCCACTATTCTGTGATTGCTGTTCTTTCCATTTACCCTGATATAGTCACTTTGTATGTTGTTTTCCAGGCTGTGCTTACTTTGTTCACTCTGTGCAAGTCTTCCAATACTTCTCTGTATTCCTCATGTTTATCTTTTCTAACAGAACAGCAATATTGCATTACATTTCTTGGCCACAATTTAGTTGTTCCCAAATGGATAAACATCTATTTTTACACCTTTTCTTCTCACTTAGAAGATGCATCCAGGAACTAAGCATTACCCCTGGGCAGGATCCTTCTTGTCCAATCCAACATCTCACCATCCCCAAATAATCTTGGTTTAAAAAAGCATTAGGAAGAATCATCAGGTGAAGGGGCACCTTGAATGTACTTTCTAGTTCTGATCAATTATAGATATCCTAAATTAAGTTCTATTAAATGAATTTATGTATAAGACACTGTCTTATCCTTGTGGCTTCTGTCAGTCAATTAAGTATTTATTTAGCCTGCTACTACGTGCCAAACCCTGTGTTATATGATGGAGATACAAAGACAAAAATGGAAGTAGTCTCTTGAAGAGCTTAAATTCTATCAGGGGAAGTAACATGTACACATACAGATAGCTACAAAATAAACATCAGTCAATCGATCAATTAACAAGTATTTATTAAGTATTATTATGGCTTAGATACAAGTACAAAGAATGAAGAAACCCTTGCTTAAAATGGATTTATATCCTAATGAGGAGGGGGAACAATAAGTATCTATAAAAATATATGGTGTACATTTAACAAACAAAAATATATACAAAGTAGTTAAATACAAGCTAATTTTTTGAGGGAAAATACATAAATAAAAGTAATTAACCGGATACCACCAACTGAGCTGGGGAGATCAAGAAAGGCCTCATGAAAGAGATGGTGCCTGAGCTGAGCTTTGAAGGAAACAAGGAATTCTATGAGACAAAGCAAAGGAGATGGTACAGTCTAGGCATGCCTTTGTAAAGGAACAGAGACAGTAAACTGTCATGTGTGATGAAAAGCAAATTGACTAGTTTGGTTTGACTTTTTGGCAAGGCCCTTCCTCAATTTTAATCTTACTTTCCTCCTCTGTAAGGTGAGGGGATTGTATTGGATGGCATTGAATGTCCCTTTCATCTCTGAAATTCAATTTTCAAAGCTCAAAATTCCTTTTAAACACTAATATTCTATGTTCTAAATTCTAAGGTCTTATCCAGACATAATGTTCTCTAATAGTCTGATCTGGAAAGTGCAAAAAATGTTTGTTCATCTCTTTCAACCATTTCTCAATTTGGGAGTTACTTTTATTCTTCTAACTCTGAGATTTTACCCCCCTTCAGTTAGCTGCTTCTCTTCCAATCTTAGCTGTATTGGATTTGTTTATGCAAGACTTTTTAATTTTATGTAACCAAAATTGTCTATTTTATCTTCTATGATCCCCTCATTCCCTTGTTTGTTCTTGTGAGCTCTTCCATTATTCATAGATTTGAAGCGTGCCTTAGGATTTGGTGTGAAGTATTGGTCTAAACCTAATTTCTTCCAGACTGCTATGCCTTTTCCCCAGCAGTTTTTGTCAAATAGTGAGTTCTTACCCTAGTAGCTTGGGGCTCTGGGTTTGTCAAATATAAGGTTCCTGGATTCATTTACTTCTCTATGTTGCATAGCTAATCTGTTCCACTGATTGACCTCTCTATTTTTTTTTAAACAAGTACCAAATTGTTTTTATTATTACCATTTTGTAGTATAGCTTGAGATATGATATTGCTAGGCTTGTTTCCTTCTCACTCTTTTCCCCATTGTTTCCCTTGAGGTCCTTGACTTTTAAAAATATGGGAAGACTTGGACCAATGAAGGAAAATGCTATCTACCTCCAGAGAAAGAAATGACAACTAGAAACATGCATAGTACAATCTTACATATATGTATATGTGTATATATGTATATATACATATAAGTATGTTTATAGAAATCTGTGTGTGTATATGTATATGATGTATATATGTGTGTGTGTGTATGTATATATATATCCACATTTAATTGTAGCCTTCTACGGTGGTGGGGAGATAGGAAGAGAGAGAGAAAAAAATAAAGTAAAAAGTACACGACAGAGAACAAAAGAGAACTTGGAAGGAACCAAAAAAAATCTAGCTAGCTTGGAAAACAAGGTGTACTATTTATTACATAGGTTTTCTTGAAATGGAAATTTATTGTTTTCTATTGAATCCTTTCATGTTCTGCTGTGTGCATGGAAATATTTTTTCCCTCCCTTTTCTCATCTTGTATCTAAGTTTAAAATGAATTAAAAATTTCAAAAAAAAAGAGATCCTTGCCTTTTTTCCTGAAAATTAATTTTGTTATTATTTTTCCTAGTTTGATAAAGCAATCCTTTAATAATTTGATTAAAATGGCACTGAATAAATATATTAATTTAGGTAGTATTGTTATTATTTTACATTGGTTTGGGCTACCCATGATTAATTAATATTTCTCCAATTATTTGGACCTTTATTTCTATAAACAATTTTTTAAAAGTTGTATTAATATAATCCTTGTGTGTATCCTGACAGGTAGACTCCAAAGTATTTTTTATATTCTGTGGATATTTTAAAATTGTATTTTTTTCTATATCTTTTTGCTGGGTTTAATTGTTAGTATATAGAAATACTGATGATTTATGTGGATTTATTTTATATCCTACAACTTTCCTGAAGTTATTAATTGCTTCAATTAATTTTAGTTGACTCCTTAGGGTTCTCTAAGTATTATCTGCAAAAAGAAAAGAAATTCTTCTTTGTGTATGCTTACTCTTTCAATTTATTTTTCTTGCCCTATTGTTATAGCTAGTATTTCTAATACTGAGTCAAATAGAAGTAGAGACAATGGACATCCATGCTTCATCTCTGATCTTATTGGAAAGTATTCTAGTTTATCACTACTACCTATAATTCTGGCTCCTGATTTTAGATATACACTATTTACCATGTTAAGGAAAGGTTCATTTATTCTTATGTTTTCTAGGATTTTTTAAAAACAGAAATGGGTATTGTGTTTTGTCAAAAGCTTTTTATGCATGACTTTTAACATAATAATATGGTTTTTATTCTTCTTGTTTTTAATATGGTTATGTTTACAATTTTCCTAATATTGAACCAACCCTACATTCCTGATTTTAAATACATCACTCTCCCTAATGTAGGTATCAAGACACTATTTGTGACCTTCCTCACCTCCTTCCCCATTCCCTGATGGCCTTGGACATTTCCAGCATCTTTACTTAAAGGTGTTTCTCAACATAGTGAACCAAGAGATGTCTCTTGAGGACTACAATAAGAAGACTAATGGATGTCTCAAATTGTTACAAGAACAATTGAAAGATCTTATTTAAGCCATATGAAGAGTCTGAAAATGATCTGAAGGCCTTACAAAATGTTGGGCGGATTGTGGGTGAATTGCTGAAACAAATAATGGAAGAAAAATTCATTGTTAAAGCAACAAATGGACCAAGACATGTTGTGAGTTGTTAGTATCATCTTGACAAAAGTAATCTGAAGCCACGGACAAGAATTGCTTTGAATATGACTACACTTACTCTCATGAGATATTTGTAAAAAAAAAAAAAAAAATATATATATATATATATATATATATATATATATATATATCCACTGATTTATAACATGTTTCTTATCCTGAGATTGGAGAGCTATCTGATAAATCAGAGAATTGAGAGAATTATCCCTTACAAACCTTGAGTTATTCCAGTGTGCAAGAAAAATAACTCCAAAAGGTTGTTTGCTAAGTGGACTACCAGGAACAAGAAAAAAACACTCTTGGCAAGAGCTGTTGCTAGCCAGCTGGATTGCAATTTTGTAAAGGTTATATCTAGTTCTATTGTAGGCGAGTATGTTGGTGAAAGTGCCTATTTGATCAGATAAATGTTCAATTGTGCCAGGGATCACTGGTTGTGCATCATTTTCATGGACGAAATAGATGCTAATGGTAGCTGTTGGTTTTCTAAGTGTACTTCAGCTGGTAGAGAAATTCAGAGAACTCTAATGGAGTCACTGAATTGATGGATGGATTTGATCCTTTTCACAGAGCAACAGTGATCATGGTTACAAACAGACCAGACACATTGGATTCTGCTTTGTTCCATCTAGGAAGATCAGATAGAAAAATACATATTGATTTACCAAATGAACAAGCAACATGAGACACAATGAAGATTCATGCTAGTTCTATCACAAAACAAGGTGAAATAGATTATGAAACAATTGTGAAGCTCTTAGATGGCTTTAATGGAGCAGATCTGAGTAATGTTTATACTGGAGCAGGTATGTTTACAATTCATGCTGATCATTATTTTGTTGTAAGGAAGGTTTCATGAAAGCAGTCATAAAATTGGCTGATTCTAAGAAGTTGAAGTCTAAACTACACAATCAACCTGACTGAGTTATAAAACATGAAAGTTGTTATTGCAATATAAAAATAAAGTTGAGGATAATAATGTGTATTGGATATGATCTCATTAAAAGCATGTAACATGTAAAGTAATAATTCATTAGTCCTATTTGCATTACTAGCACAGAAAAGTATGCGCTGGTCAATGTATTTGTTGCAGCAAATTAAATGAGCTGCATTAGATAAGGTTTGTTCGTTTTTTTTTAATAGTTCCAATATATAAAATATTGAAATGCTTTGAGATACCAATTTTAAAGGACATTTCTTAATGGAATTTTATGTTATTTTACTTGTTTTCTTCTTCCCAAAGAATTGAATAAAATTTGTTTGATTCAATCCTCTTGCATAGTAAAAACAAAACAACATATTTGTATAATAGAAGGAATGTAGTATGATCTTATCTTTTGCTATTTTTGCAAACAATTTGTGTGATATCAGAATTAATTATTCTTTGAATGTTTGATAGAATTTTCTTATGCGTCTGTCTGGTCTTGTTTTTTTTTTCTCTTTGGGAGTTTGTCTATGGCTTGTTCAATTATCTGAGATTGAGTTGTTTAAGTTATCTATTTCATGTTCTATTAATCTAGGTATCTCATGTTTGTTAGCTTATTTCATTTAAGTTGTTGGTTTTATTGCCATTTATTTAGTTGTGCAAAAATTTTCTAATATCCTTTATTTCTCCTTTATTTGTTATGAACTCTCCTTTTTTCATCTTTTTGATACTGGTAATTTGGCTTTTTCTTTTTTCTTCTTTTTAATCAACTTAATTAATGGGTAAATCTTTTCTAAAAAACACTCCTGGTGTTATTTATTTTTTGCTTTCAATTTTATTAGGCTCTTCTCTTATTTGATTGTGAAGGTTTTTATTTTAGTGTTTAACTAGAATTTTAAAATTTGCTGATTTCCTAGCTTTTTAGTAACACGCCCAATTCATTGATCTGTTTTTTCTCTCTTTTACTTGATGAGTGTTTAGAGATACTAATTTCCCCCTGTGAACTTCTTTGTTTCACTGATAATCACTCAGTCTTGAGGCTGACTCAATGTTTGGTGAGTCCTTGCCTAGAACTACCAAATCATCAGAAGTCCTGGACATACTGCTTGTTGCCCTTCTAGTCCACTCTTGAGATTGCTTCATTTCCATGCTGGTTATCTCAATCCCTTTTGGGTACCTCTCCCCTTATTTCTAGCTCTTTCTTTGTGTCATCTTGCCCCATTAGAATGTAACTTTTGAATCTTTTGTTGTTGTCATTTTGTATCTTGTTGTGTGCTTGGCACACAATAAGCATTTAATCTCTATCTACCTATCTATCTATCTATCTGTCTACTATCTGTCCATCCTTGGCTGCATCACTAAAATTTTGGTATATTGTCTTATTGTTTTCATTATCTTTAATGAAATTAACTATTATTTTCATGATTTGTTCTTTGACCCAAAAATTCTTTAGGATTTAGTTATTTAGTCTCCAGTTAATTTTTAATCCTTCCTTCACTAGCTCTTTATTTAATATAATTTTATTTCACTGTGGTCAGTAAAGGATATTGAATATTATTGCTTTTCCATTAGACTATAAACAGATCATATTCAGAAAATTCCTGTTAATTTCTGACTCATAGGTACCTTTTTATGTTTTTCTTGGCTTGTGTGTTTATGTTTCAAAGTTTCTATTTAGCTCTGATCTTTTCATCAGGAATGCTTGAAGGTCATATCTTTCATTCAAGGATCATATTTTCCCTTACAGGATTATACTCAGTTTTTCTAGGTAAACTCTTTTTGGATATAGACCTATATATTTTGCCTTTTGGAATATTGCTTTCTGTGCTCTCTTTTCATTTACATTGGTAGCTGCTAAATCTTGTGTGATTCTGTGTGATTCCTTAGTACTTGAATTATTTCTAATTTTTTTTCTTGGATCTAGAAGCTCTGGATTTTGGCTTCCTGGGAATTTTCATTTTGGGGTTTCTTTCAGGAAGTGACTAGTAGATTATTTTCTACTTTCACTTTGCCCTTTGTTTCTTGGAGATCTGGACAGTTTTTTTGGTAAAGATTTCTTGAAATATGATGTCTAGACCTTTTTATTCATGTAGTACAATGATTCTTAAATTTTTCTCCTCAACTTGTTTTTTATGTCAGTTGTTTTTGCTACCTTAATTTTTTTCTTTTTTCTTTTTTACATTTTGTTTTTGTTTTAATATTTCTTATTGTCTTCCAGGATCAATAACTTTTATTTGATTCTAATTTTTAGAGAGCTTTACCTGAGTAAATTTTTGTACCTCTGATCTTAAACTGTTAATTATCTTTCCAAGTTTCTCATCTTGTTTCTTTTTCAATTATTTCTACCACCTCTTTTATTTTCTAATAATAACATTTTAACTCCATTTTTAATAATGTAATTTCTTCTAGGAATTCTAACTAATTTTAAAGCCAAGCTATCTTTGTAGGTTTTATGGAACTATTTTATCTTCCAGCTCTTTAATTTTTGTTTGTTTACTAATTTTTTGGTGCTGAGACCTTTCTCTTCACAGATCTCTGTTCCATGGATCTTAGGGTCATATTAATCTCACTGAGGGCTTTTCCTTTTGGAAAAGGAAGAAATTATGCCCTTTCTTTTTTCCTCACTGGAGTGTTTTGTTTTTTTTTTTGCCCAGCAGCTGTCTAAGGTACTCCCTCCTCAGGAGATCTTATTTTGTTAAGGTCCTCACCTTAACATCAGGGAACTTTCCTCTTCATGGAGTACAGGGTCTTCTCCATCTACTAAGTTAAGGCCTATTCCTCCACCAGGGGGCCTTTCTTTTACCCTACAGCTGATTCTGAAGCACCCCCTCATTCTGATATCAAACCTTTGTCCAGGGGGACTTTTCTTTGCCCTGTGGTTGAGTCTGGGGTCCACCCACCTTGGATAAGGCAACTACCATACTAAGGCCCTTCTCTATCCTGTGGAATAAGATATCAAACTGTCTACTTCCTTGTCTGGTGATAGAGATCATAGTGATTATTCTGAAAGAGTTGAGTCATGTGGTGGTTGAGGCCTGTCATGAAGCAGTTATACATCTTCCTCCTACTCCACCATCTTGGCTGGTTCTTGCCCTCATTATTAAGAGGAAAGCACAACTGAAAGGTCAGATAGACTTGACTTCACTTTATCTGAGAACTGTACAGATCATGGAACTTAGGAGAAGGTGAAAAAAGACATTTCCCCCACCCCCAACTTTGAATGTCAGAGGATGGAAGACAAATACAAGAGTGTGTGTGTGTGTGTGTGTGTGTGTGTGTGTGTGTGCGCGCGCATGTAGGAGAAAGGGGAGGTGGTCTCTGTAAGAAGAGCCCTCAGACATGGCATTATTAATGCCTTGGAGATTTTTATATGCCTCTGGGACTAATGGTTCCACATTCAAGGGTTTCTGGGGTTTTTTTCCTCTCTTCTAGTAAAAATTTCTTCTCTAATATTATTAACTGTATGCTTATAATGAGAAGCCACTGTCTATATCCTAGAAAGTACCATGTGCACATATTTCAAAGTTTCTTATATCTGAATATTATAAGCCAAGACTAGAGAAAATCCACCAAAGTGAACCAGGCCTCTTTTGTGCCTTGAGAAAGTCTTTGGCACAAGAATGAGATAGTTCTCCAATGGTTAGTGGGTATTTCCTTGCCTCTCCAGCAAGACTGTGAGCTCCTAGAGGGCCTAGATGATGTCTTCTCTTAATTTTATCTCTTGGTGATCAAGGCCAAAATTATTCATTAGTGGCCACAGGGGATATGGTATTTCTCTGCTGAGGTGAATGCTAGAAGGTTGGAATAAAATATTGTGCCTTAAATTCATTACGGTGGTAGGAGAGGCAGACACAGAAAGCTTATTTATTTAGCACTGGAATGTCCACAGATTGCAATACATCATTTTCTTTTCTGTCTTTTTTAATGTTTACCCCAAATTTGGAGGGAGATAGATGTATGAGGATGGGACTCCATGGGGATACCATCAAGAACTGGAAGAGCTGTCAAAGGGAAAAGGGTTTAAAATGGTTCAGTTTAGCCCAAAGGGTAGAACTAGAAGTAATGGATAGATGTTACAAGACAGGTCTATTTCCATTCCTAATGGGAGGGAGGGGGGACTTCCTTACCAAGAGAGCTTTCCAAGAACAAACTGGATTGCCTCAGGAGGCTGTAAATTTCCTGTTGTGAG